AAAAAATTCCCAATTTCCCGGTCCCGTCTCGCCCTCGGGAACTCGAAGCCATGCCGTGACCCCTCTGTTCGTGCTTGCTGTGGGTGTCCCCCCTGTCCCCTGCAGCACTGACCCCTCCTTCCCCTTTGCCATCCCTTTCTCCTCCTTCTCCATCCCTTTTTTCCCTTTTTTCTTCCTTTTCCATCCCTTCTCCTTCTCCCATTTTTCCCTTTTTTCCCCTCCTTTTCCATCCCTTTTCCCCCCTTCTCCTTCTCTATCCTTTTTTCCCCACTCATTTTCCAATCCTTTTTTTCTCCTCCTCCTTTTCCATCCCTTTTTTCTTCCTTCTCCTCCATCCCTTGGCTGACTTCTCCAGCCTTTTCCTCCTCCTCCATTCCTTTTCTCCTCATTTCTATCCCTTTTTACCCCTTCTCTTCCTTTTCCATCCCTTTTCTTCTCCTCCTTCTGTCCTTTTTGTCCATCCCTTTTCCCCCCTTTTCTATCCGTTTTTTCCTCCTTCCCCCCCCCTTTTCCCTCCTTTTCCATCCGTTTTTCCCTCTTGCCCCTTTTTTCTCCGTTTTCCCCCCTTTTCCATCATTTTTCCCCCCTTTTCCATCCTTTTTTTCCCATCCCTTTTCCCGTTTCGGGGCTGGCAGCAGCGCCGGCTCTGGAGCAGCCCTTGGGAAGGAGCGAATCCCTCCGGAGCCACCCCGAGCTTTTGGGATTTGGGATCTGACAATCCCTGGATCCGAGGGAACCGGGGACAACTGGGAGGAACTGGGAGAACTGGGGGGGACTGGGGAGGGACCCCCTTTGCCGTGCATTCCCCACTCTTGTTGCTGCTAGTCGTGTGCATCCTCTGGCTCAGCTCTCCCCAAAATCCACTCGGGCCTTTTCGGGCTTCGGTTTCTCTTCCCGGACACTCGTTAATTTTATTTTATTATTTTATTTTTTATTTTTATTTTTTCCTGTTTCGATTTGGTTTGATTTGGGTTTTGGTTGGTTTCTCTCTCTCTCTCCCCTGGCGATGTGTGTTGGGTCCTTTCCCGCGTGAGCAGATGCTGGTTGATGTCGGGGTGTTTGCTGCAAACAGTGTAAGCATTGTGACTGCAAATAAAACTCAATGGTTTCTACTGACACGGCTCTGCTGCGCCCCAAAAACCCCACAGGGCGCCCCAAAAACCCTCCAGAGTAATCCCAGAACCCCGGGGGGCACCCCAGAACCCCCAGAGTCACCCCAGAGCCCAGAAAGTCACCCTAAAACCCCGGGAATCACCCCAAAACCCTGTGAATATCCCCACAGCCCCGGGGGGCACCCCAAAACCCTCAGAGTCACCCCAGAGCCCAGAAAATCACCCCAAAAACCTGAGTCATCCCTGGGACTCACCCCAGAGCATTGAGAGTCACCTCAGAACCCTGAGAGTGCCCCCAAAACCCCGAGAGTCATTCCAGAGCCCAGAAAGTCACCCTAAAACCCCGGGAATCACCCCAAAACCCTGTGAGTATCCCCACAGCCCCGGGGGGCACCTCAAAAACCCCCCAGAGTAATCCCAGAATCTCAGGGGGCACCCCAAAACCCCCAGAGTCACCCCAGAGCCCAGAAAGTCACCCCAAAACCCTGAGTCATCCCTGGGAGTCACCCCAAAAAGCCCCAGGGCACCCCAGAACCCTGAGAGTGCCCCCAAAACCCCAGAGAGTCACCCCAGAGCGCCCTCCCTGCACCCCAAATTTCTTCCCAGAACCCCAAAGATTCCTCCCAGGATCTCTCTCCAAACCAAATCCTCCCCAGAACTCCCAAAATTTCCCCCAGCACCCCCAAAATCCCCCTGAACTCTCCCTGTTCACCCCAAAATCGCCCCAGCAGCCCTTTCCCATAGGGTGGCTCTTCCCAATGAAACCCCAAAATCCCTAAAATCCGATTTAACCCCAAAATCTGATTTAACCCCAAAACCCACCTGAGATTTGGCCCCAATTCCTGGAATTTTTACCCCATTTTAGGGAACAACCTCCCCACAACTGCCAGGGCATGGGGGGGATACCCCAAAAATAAAAAAAAAAATTGGGATTTTCCAACAGCGATCCCAACACCGGGATTGGGATTTCCAAATATTTATTTACAGCTGGAGGAGCTCCATCCTTCCAGAGATTTCCCAAATTTTGGGAATGATCCTGGAGTGGGGCTGGGGGGCTCCTGCTCTTCCCGAAATTCCCGAAATTCCTGAAGCTCATCCCGATTTTCTGAGGTAAACGGCGTCGTTGCAGCCCTCCCTGTTCCGGGCGATCTCGATGGCAAAAAATTGGATCCTGGTGGCTGCAAAAGGAGGAGAGGGAGCAGATCCAGGGGGATTTTATTCCCACCAAAAATGCTATTTTCCCACTAAAAATGGGATTTTTTTTCCTACTAAAAATGGAGTTTTTTCCCATTAAAAATTGAATTTTTTCCCACTAAAAATGGGATTTTTTTCCCACTAAAAATGGAAGTTTTTTCCACTAAAAATGGAAATTTTTCCCACTAAAAATGGAATTTTTTCCCCACTTAAAATGGAGTTTTTTCCCCACTTAAAATGGCATTTTTCCTCACGGAAAAATGTTTTTTCCCACCAAAAAAAAAACCCTCCAGAAATCGAGTTTTTCCTCGCCAAAAATGATGTTTTTCCCCTTAAAAATTTCGTTTTTTCCTCACCAAAAATGGAATTTTCCTCGCTGTACTCCTGGCGCGAGTCCAGGCGCAGCAAAGTCCCGAAGTTGAAATCCTCGACCACGCCCTCGAAACTGAGACAGAACGGGCGCCACTTCTGGGGGGGAAAAAATATCCTGAGCACCCCAAAATCCCGGGAAAAAAAATGGGAAATCCCAGGAAAAAGGGAGGGAATTCCAGGGAAAAGGGGGAAAATCCGAGAAAAAGGGAGGAAATCCCAGGGAAAAGATGAGGGGGGGAATCCCAGGGAAAAGAAGAGAAATTTCCAGGGAAAAGGATGGAAATCCCAGGGAAAAGAGTGGGGGGGAATTCCAGGGAAAAGTGGGGAAATCCAAGAAAAAAGGGAGGAAATCCCAGGAAAACGGGTGGGAAATCCCAGGAAAAGGTGTAGAAATCCCAAGAAAAATGATGGAAATCCCAGGAAAAAGGGGAGAAATCCAAGAAAAAAAGTGGGGAAATCCCAGGGAAAAGGGGGAAAACCCAGGAAAAAGTGGGGAAATCTCAGGAAAAAGTGGGGAAATCTCAGGAAAAAAGTGATGAAATCTCAGGAAGAAGCAGAAAAATCCCATAAAAACGTGGAAATCCCATAAAAAAACGGGAAAATCCCATAAAATCCCAGCCCCAAGCCTTCCCCCACCTCCTTGGCCGCCTCCGATTTGAGCTCCTCGGGGTCCAGGACGTCGACGCGCAGCTCCCGGAAGGTTCTGCGGAATTCCTCGTAGATCCGATCGTCCACCTTGGTCAGGCTCAGGAATTTGGGGTCCACGGACGAGATGAGCTGCGGGGGGAGGTGCGGGATCAGCTGGGACCCCCCCAAAAATCCCCCCCAAACCCCGCGGAGCCCCCAGACTCACGTTGAAGTAGATCTGGGCGTGCTGGTGAGCTCGCATGGCCCAGGCCAGCTCCACGCGGGGCTGGAACCGAGCAGGGACGGCTGTGACCCCTCCTGGGGACAAATGTCCCCTCCTGGGGTCCCTCCTCACCTTTTGGGGACCCTCCCCCCCGCTTTTGGGGTTTTTTTTTCCCTGTTTTTATAGGGGTTTTTCACCCCTTTGGGGTTTTTCTGCTGCTGTTCTGGGGGTTTTCTTCCTTTTGGGGTTCTGGGACCCCCCCCCGCTGGGACTGAGATCCCAAAACTGGGACCCCCCTTTCAGGACTGGGATCCTCCTGGAATGGGAAACCCTAAAATTGGGACCCCCCCCAAACCGGGACCCCCTTTCCAGGACTGGGATCCTCCAGGATTGAGATTCCCTAAAGCTGGGACCCCTCAGCTCCGGGACCCTCCAGGACAGGGAACCCCAAAGGTGGAACCCCCAAATCTGAGACCCCTCCCCAGGACAGGGAGCCCCAAATCTCCCAGCCTGTCACCGACTCCCAGTAAGGCCCCCCAGTTCCCCCAATCCCCCCCAGTCTCCCCAGTTTCCCCAATGCCCCCCAGTCCCCCCAGTTCTCCCAGTCCCCCCAGTCCCCCCAGTCCCCCCAGTTCCCCCCAGTCCCCCCAGTTCTCCCAGTTCCCCCCAGTCTCACCAGTCCCGCCAGTCCCGCCGCCGCCATCGCTGCCGGAAGGGGAGGGAACGCCCCACCCACGGGGACTGGGGACAAGGGGAGGGGACAACGGGACAGGGGAGGGGACGGGGGACAAGGGGAGGGGACAACGGGACGGGGGAGGGACAGAGGGACAGGGGAGGGGACAGGGGGAAAGGGGAGGGGACAACGGGACGGGGGAGGGACAGAGGGACAGGGGAGGGGACAACGGGAGAGGGGAGGGGACAACGGGACGGGGGAGGGACAGAGGGACAGGGGAGGGGACGGGGGACAAGGGGAGGGGACAACGGGACAGGGGAGGGGACAACGGGACAGGGGAGGGACAGAGGGACAGGGGAGGGGACGGGGGACAAGGGGAGGGGACAACGGGACGGGGGAGGGACAGAGGGACAGGGGAGGGGACAGGGGAGGGGACAGAGAGACAGGGGGAGGGACAACCGGGGGACACAGGGGACATCTGGAGCAAAGGGACACGGGGGGATCAGGGGGGACACGGGGAGCGCAGGGACACGACGGGGGATGCAGGACAGGGGGACAGGGGAGACATGGAGGGGACATGGAGGAACACGGGGGAGGGACACGAGGGGACATCGAGAGGACACGAGGGGACATCGGGGGACACACAGGGCGAGGGGACACCAGGGATGTCCCCACACAGTGACCTGTGACACATGGAGGGGGCGGGCAGAGTCTCCCACGCTCATTAGCGCCCACCCTCGAGTGTGTAATTAACTGATTAACGGATTAATTAACGGGGTGGGGGCTGCTGCATTGGCAGCGGGGGTGGGCGGGGCCGCTGTGCCCCATAAGTGCCCGCTGTGGGGTGGCCCCGCAGTCTGGGGGTGTCCCTTGGGCTGGGATTGGAGGTGCTGCTCCGGGTGAGTGTTTTGGGGCGAGGGGTGGCCCTGGGGGTGCTGCAGGTCCGGGAGGAGGGGAGGGGGTCCCACATTTGTGCGTGTCCCCCCCCCAGGCTGTGCGACCCCCGAGCCATGTCCTTCACAGACAGCAGCGACAGCCGCGATGAGAGACCCGTGTCCATCCTTTGGGGTGAGTGCGGTGACCCCAAAAGCCCCCGGGGTGACTCCTCCAGGCCGGGACCCTCCCCTGGCACGGCTCTGTCCCCTCCTGTGCCCGCAGGGTGCGAGCTGAGCAGCGACAGGAGCTCCTACACCTTCCAGGTGCCCGAGGACTGGCACTGCGAGCAGCAGCTGGTCCTGCGCACGGTGCGTCACCCCAAAAAACCCCAAAAATCCCATAAAACCCCAAAAACCCGAGGGCGTTGTGAGGGAGGGGTTTGTTATTCCCATAGCCTGGGATTGATTCTATTATTAATTTAATGGATTAATGGGGATGTAGGAGAGATCGTGGCGGGGAGGGGGGGATTGTGTCTCTCAACCCCCCCAAATTCCTGGGGGTTTTAGGGGATGAATTTCCCATGGGGGGACTATGGCTGAGGAGGGACTGAGCTCACCCCGCTGCCCCCCAAAAATCCTGGGGATCCCAGGTGCTGTGAGGGACCCTGCAGGGATTTTCTCCTCAATCCTTCAGGGACTGGGATGAATTCCCAGGGCAGGGGGATTCCCTCAAACCATCCCCCCCCAAAAAAAAAAAAAAATCCCTGGGAGGTGCTGGGTGAGGATTACCTGGATTTTGTGGGAGTCCTGATATCCAATTTTTCCTGATCCATTTCCAGATCTGCCTGGGGGAGACGGCCCGGGATGAATTCCACGTGGTGGAGGTGGTGACCGAGGACAGCGACAGCCGCACCCCGGTGCCCCTGGCCACGCTCAAACCCTCGGTGCTGCCCACGGTGAGAGCCCGGCGAGGGGTCTGGGGGTCCTTGGCCGTGCCCGAGGAGGGGTCTGGGGGTTCCCGCTGTCCCGGGGGGCTGCCAGGAGCTGTTTCCATTCCCATTTTCCAGGCCACGCTGGCCGGAGTGGAGCTGAACCCCCCCGTGACTTTCCGCCTGCGAGCCGGCTCCGGGCCTGTCTATATCAGCGGCCAGCACGTGTCCAGTGAGTTTTGGGGATCCCTACCTCGTGTCCAGTGAGTTTTGGGGTCCCCCCCCACCCCCAGCGGGGTCTGGGGGCTCAGCCAGGCTCTCCCGCAGTGATGATCCTGAGCTCGGATGATGATGAGGAGGAGGAGGAAGAGGAAGAAATAGAAGAGGCCCCCAAGAAACCCCCCAAGGGTTCGAGCGCCCAGAAGAGCAGCACTGCCAAGGTCAGCGCCTGCCTGAGGTGTTTTGGGGTCCCTGTGGCACGGGGAAAGGGGGGCAGGGACCCCAAATTCCTCTCGGTTAAGGGGATGAGCCGTGACCTTCATCCCTCGGGGAGGAAGAGTCCTCATCCTCCATCTCCTTCTCTCTCCCGTAGAAAAGGAAGCTGGAAAAAGAGGATGAGCTGTGAGTACGGAACTCCTGGGGCTGGGGATCCCCCATGGCCGGGACCCTGCGCCCCAAATCCCCATCCCCTCTTTTCTCTCCTCAGCAGGAACAGTCTCGCCCCCGAGGCTCCCCCTCCCAGCAAGGTACGAGCGGTTGGGGATCCCCTGAACCCCGGGATAATCCCACGGGAGACCCTGGAGAGGGAAAAGGGCCGGGCTGCGATGGCCGCACCCCAAAAAAGGGGGAGAAACGCAGATTTGGGGTCCAGCGCCCCCTCCCCTGTTCTTGTAGGGCCGCGGAGCCGGCCGGGGCAAGAAAGCAGCACCGAAGAAATGACGGTAATTCCATTGGAGCGGGGCCAGGTGAGGATTTTGGGATGGGGATTCCGTGTACACCCCCAAACCGGCATCACCCCAAAATCCCTACGGGTAAAAACAAAATCCTTTTGCTCCTTCTCTTGCAGGTGCCGGAACGCCTGGAGGCAGCAGGAGCTGCTGGTGTGGTGGTGGTGTCGTTCCCAAATCCCAAATAAAATCACATTTTGCACTCAGGGCTCCCCGTGCTGCTGCGGGAGCACCCCCAGCCCGCGTGGAGCGGCCCTGGGTTTGGGGGGACCCTTCCTCACGGGAGTTCTTGGGGTCTTTTAGGAGTTTTGGGGTGGGTTGGGGGGTATTTTGGGATCTCTGGGTTCGTTTTTGGCGTCTCGAGGCTTTGGGGGTTCTCATCCCGGTTTTGGGGTCCTCAGGAGGTGAAGGCCCTGCTGGGGGACACCTGGACCTGGGTGCTCCAGCGTTGGGGTTTGGGGTTTTTTTTTTTTTTTGTATTCTTGGGGTTTTTTTAAGGGATGTATTGTATTTTTTGGATTTTGGAGTGGGTTCAGGGATATTTTGGGGGAAGGTTCTGTGCCATTTTTGACATCTCTGGGTTCATTTTTGGGCGTGCTGGTGAGCGGGGGCTGCCCCCCACCCGTGCGGTGTGAAAAGGAGGGGACGAAGTGAAATTAGGGAGCAGCAGGGCCGGGCTGGGATCTCCCTGACCTGGATTTGGGGGGGGTCCCGGAACCCCCCGGGTGTCCCAGAGCGGATCAGACCTCCCTGACCCCCCGTTTTAGGGCGGCTCCAGCTGTGGGGCAGGGCTTGGGGTTAATCCGCTCTGCACCCCCCGGGATGGGGACAGAGGGGGGACAAGCCCGGTCCTGGCCAGCTGTGCCAGCTGTGGCAGCAGCGCTGTCGCTCCCGCCTGTCCTCACCCCGCAGGGGCTCTTTGCACCCCCCGGGATGCGCTGACAGCTCCCGGCCCCAAAGCCGGGGGGCACAGGCCGGGGGCGATGACGGCTCCGCATCCATCAATCCTCCCCCAAGGATTGGGGTGGGGGGCGATCCCAGAGCTGGGGCTGCACCTTCTGGGGGGCGTTGGGCCGAATTCTTAGCTCGGGGCGGTTAATTTGGGAGGTTTTTTTATGGAATCAAGCCCCTCATCCTCCTGCGGATGGGGGGGGTGGGTTCCCCAATGCTCCCCCTTGGCCGGGGGGGTTAATTTGCGGTTTTTTAATGGAATCGCCCCCCCCACCCTCCTCCGGATGGGGAGTGGGTTCCTCACTCCCCCCTCCTCCTGCCTTGGCCCCCCCACCTCGCTCTGCGGGGGAAACTGAGGCACGGCAGTGAAGGCAGGTGAGCTCTGAATGCCCCCCCGACCCCCCCCAGGGCTGTTTGACCCCCCTGGGGCTCCCCCAGCTCCTGCCGGGGGGGTTTATCAGCCACTTCACACCCCCCTGGAGCAGCAAACGGTGCCTGGGGGTGATCCCCGAGCTCCCCCGCGGCTTTGGGATGGGTGGGGGGTCCCCAGAGCCCCCACCCCCAGCGCTGAGCCCCCGCTGTGCTGGGTGAGGCACAAGCACCTGGTGACAGCAGGGTGACAAAACCCCGCTGTCCCCAACAAGTGGCGGGGGGGGGACGGGACACCTTAACCCTCCCCTGTCCCCTCCCCCGTCCCGGAGCGGCTCCAGCCCCTCCTTGCGGGGCTCTTCCCCCCCTTTAAAAGCCGCCCCCACCTCCCGTGTCCCCGTCCGGGCCGGCACCGGCCCCGCCAGGCTCCATGGAGCGGGGGGCTGCGAGCCCCGCCCTGCCCGGGGCCACCACGGGCGGCTGATGGCGAGGGGACAGCGGGGACACGATGGCGCTGGATGTCCCCCAGGTTTAGGACGCGCAGCCCGGAGGGAGAAGAAGAGGAGGAGGAGGAGAAGCCCCCCAGCCCCGCTGCCTCCCCCATGAGCCGCGGCTGCTGCGGAGTTTTGGGCATCGCACGAGGGCTCGGAGCGTCCCGGGATTCACCGGGCAAGGAGGGCACGGGAGCGACCCCGAGGGTGCCCGGGGGGCTTTGAGCGGCGCCATGCAGCCCCTGACCCTGCAGAACCTGTCCCTGTAAGCCCCCCGAGCTCCGCTGCCATCCCCGGGGGTCTCCCCTGTTTTTATTCCCGGCTTTTTGCCCCCGGTTTTTATTCCTGGCCCGTTTTATATTCCCGGTTTTTATTCCCGGCTTTTTCCCCCCGGTTTTTATTCCCGGCGGTCTCTCTCTGCGGTTGATTCCTGGTTTTATTCCCGGTTTTATTTCCCGGGATTCTCCCTGGGTTGATTCTCGGGGTTTATTCCCGGCTTTCTCCCTGGGTTTATTTCCCGGGGGTCTCTCCCTGGGGCGATTCCCGGTTTTCTCCCCGGGTTTTATTCCCAGTTTTCTCCCTGGCTTATTCCCGATTTTCTCCTGGGCTGGGGGGAAGGAGGAACCTCTCAGCTCCCCCCAAATTTTCCCGCTTTTCCCTTTTTCCCGCAGATGTTTCCAGCTGCTCATGTTCTCCTGTCAGACCCAGGTAGGTGCGGGGGCTTTGCTGACCCCGGGGTGGGCGAAGGCCGCGGTTGTGCCCCCCTCTGAGCTGCCCCTTTTTCTTCTGGGGTCCCCCGGGGGTGTTTGTGACCTCGAGGGGGGTTCGGTGATGGCCAGGACCCCCCCAAACCCCTCCGGAGGGTGGGGGTGAGGCTGGCACGGACCCCGGCCCGAATTTCGGGTCATCTCCGTCACCCTCGAGCCCCCGGGCTCGCCCCGAGGGGGTTAAAGGGGTCTGGACCCTCCTTGAGGGGGGGGTGCGAGGTTGGACACCCCCTCCCCTCTCCCCCACACCCTCTGGGGCTGCTCCGACCCTTTTTTTGTGAGCTTTAGAAAAGCGGCAGCTTTTAAAATCCACTGTTCCATATCAGCACCCTCTGCTCCAGCGCCCGAACAAAACCCCCGGGGCTGCGGCCCCCGCGGCATTAAAACATCCTCGGCACCTTTTTTCTTCTTTTTTTTCCCCTCTCTTTTTATTTTTTTTTTCCCTTTCCCAAGGTAAACGCTTTTATTTCTTTGAAAATGAGCGGGGAAGGGAAACGCCTTTGATGGAGAGGACCCCCCCCCAAAAAAAAAAATCCCATCCCACCTCCCCTGGCCGATCCCAAAGGCTTGAAAGCGAATCCCGGCAGGAAATGAGTGCTGGGAGCGCACAAAGGGGGGGTGGGGAGGGATTTGGGGGGTGTGGGCAGTGCCCCCCACCCTGGGATTCCAAACCCTGGGAATGCGGGGGGCAGGACCTGAACCCCCTCCCCCAAAGTGATGCTGCGCACCCCAAACTGGCAGTGGGACCCCAAATGTCCCCCTGTCCCAGCAGGAGATGCCAGCCCTGGCTCTCACCCCTTTCAGGGATGATTTTTGGGGTCTCTCGGGTGCTCGGTGCTCACCCAGCCGAGTTTTCCCTCGGGATGTTCTAGTTGGAGTTGGGAGTTGGGACCCCAAATCCTTCTCCTCACCTGCCCCGGTCAGCTCCGCTTCTCCCCCCAAATAAAATCCCACATTTAGGAAAAGCCATGGAGCTGTTTTGGGATCCCCCGGGGTTTTTATCCCAGGGTGGCTCCGCTCCTGGGATTTTGCTCTCCTGGAATTCCGGGGGTGATTTTAGGGCACCTCATCACCCAGAGGGACTCGCTGGGCGTTCTCCCAGCTCAACTCCTGCTTCCCAGCGCATCCCAAATTCCTGCTGAGCATCCCTGGCAGATGAGAGAATCCTTCCCCATCTCAAATCCCAAACCCCAAAACACCCTCTGCTCCACGGGAAAACCCTCCCAAAAAAAAAAAACCAAAAAACCGTCACCCTCATCCCACCCACCCTTCTCTTTTATCATCCCCAAAAACGAATTGATTCGATTTTTTCCCTTTGTAAACAAAGGGGGAGAACCAACCGTCTCCTAATTTTAACCAGTACGTGAGGGACCAGGGGGCCATGACGGACCAGCTGAGCCGCCGCCAGATCCGCGAGTATCAACTCTACAGCCGGACCAGCGGCAAGCACGTCCAGGTCCACGGCAAACGCATCACGGCCACCGCCGAGGACGGCAACAAATTCGGTGAGGAGTTGTCACCACCCCGAGGGTGTCACCTCCCTCAGGGGAAGCGGCTGTTCCGAAAGGAATGAGGGAATTCTTGGTTTGGTAGCTCGAAAAATCCCCCGAAAAAAAAAAAATTTATAATAATAATCCTCCGAGTGAGAGCGCGGCTGCGGAAAGTCAGACCTGACCCCAAATTTTACAAAATCGTGGATTTTTCCTGCTCTGTGCGATGTTTATAATTCCCATATTTAGAGAGTTATAAGTATTAAATTATAAATATATTGATATTAAATTATAAATATTCCCATATTTAGGCTTTGTGCTTTCTAATCCCTTTCCTGGAGACAAAACAGCTTTTCCTGGAGGAAAAATCGCCCGATCCAGGAATCCTCTTCCTAAATATCCATCGGTGATGGGCAAATCCCAGCCCGGCCTCAACACTTTTTTTTCCCCCCTTTTTTTCCTACTTTTCCGAGGGGTTTTCCACGCTGCGGGGGCATCACAGCCCCACAAATCTCTCCGAGCTTCGGGAAAGTTTTTCTAGGGTTTTTTCCTGGATTCTCCCGAGCGCGATCCCGAATTTCCGCCAGGCTCTGGGGCCGGGAATGTTGTG